AAAAAAAAAAAAAAAAGATGTCTTTTTATATTGAAAGGTGGTGAGTGCATTATGCAGATTGCTATCTTCCCTTGCAAATGAAAGGAGGGAGTCTCCAAGTATAGGGGCCTGAAGCAACTGCCCCGGGGAGGGGGTTTCCAAGAGGCAGAGGATAAAGGGCAGACCTGGGATTGAGAGGAGCTGCAAGCTGAATCCAGCCAGCACAGAGGGCACAAATGGGGGGGGTGGGGAGAGGGGTACACTCAGGATTTTCCAGGCAAAGGAGGTGAAGAGGCAACCAGGATGCAGCCCCCAGGCAGAGCGCGGGGGCCATCAGCCCACGGCCCATTGCCCCCAATAACTACCTCACGTCCTGTTTGCAGAGCCCGGCAGGGGGACAGGGGATCAATACGTCACCCGACATCCACACACTCCCTGCTCTTCAAACACCAATGTACGGAGAAATACGCTTCCCCTGAATCCAAGGTCACTAGGGGCATCTGTCTCATCTGCCCCCCAGTTGGACATACCGGAGGGATGATGCACACCAGGACTGTGACCCCAAGGACTGGGCACGGGGGCGGGGGGGAGTGGGCACTGCTTCCGACCCCAGGGAGCCTGTCTCCTGCCTGCCCTCGTGCCCAGCTGAGGAAATGCCCTCACGCTGCACCTGCCCCCACCGCTAGGAGGTCAACTCCCCTCCCTTCCCCCATGCGATGACTGATTGAATGACTGGGTAGGGCAGGGGCGAGGTACCTGTGCCCACCCCCTTTTGTCTTGCTTCGGGGGAGGCTGACCTCATGGGGGTTTGGGAGGGGCCATGAGGGCTTTAAAAGGTAGGGCTGGAGCACCAAGTAGCACAAAGCACGGAAAGGAACCAGGCTGGCTATAGCATCACCAACCTCCCGGCTCTGCAGGTGAGAGCACCCAGGAGGGGGAGGAGAGGCTCTGCAGGTGAGACCACCCAGGAGGGGAGGAAAGAGTCGGGGAGAGGGCTGATGGGACGTCTCCCTGCCCCAAAGGACCAGGCTCCTGCCTCGGTGTCTCCAGGGCCACCATCCTCCTCTCAGCTCAGGGCCGGACTAGGTCTCAGCTCTAGAACCCACCCTGGAGTGCCCTTTCCTCTCCCGCTGCTTCAACCGGGGCCCTGCCCTGCCCCTCTGCCTCCATGCTCACCCCAGTCCTGCAAGGTGAGAAGGACAAAGGCTATTCTCCCATTTCCAGGTGAAAAAACTGAGGCCCAGAAGGAGAAGTGACTGGCCAAAGTCACACCAATCATAGAGCAGGGCTGGAACTGGAACCCAGGGCTTCTGGGTTCCATCTCAAGCTCTTTCCTACACCAGCACTGTCTGAAAGAACTTCCCATGATGATGGGGATTGTATCTGCACCATCCAATAGGGTACCCACCAGCCAAAGGTGCACCAGAAAGGAGGCTAGTTCAAAGAAGGAGTTTTTACTTTTAATTAATTTAAATGTAAAGAGCCATATGTGGCTAGTAGCTACCATGTTGGACAATAACGTGGCTAACCTTGCTTCTTTAGCAGCAAGAACCCTTTCTCCTTCAAAGGAAATCTAACACAGAGCTCCACGATGACAAACAGATAAAAGCAGTATTTTATTCCTAGAAACGCGTCCCTCGAGGGTAACATCTTTATAATTTACTTCTGATGAAGCCAATCAGAACAATGAGGCAGAAAGAACACAAATGCTGAGAAGAGAGTTTTAGATGTGAATCTTATTTTTTTATTTTATTTTTCAATGTTTATTCATTTTTGAGAGAGAGCGAGCATGAGCGGGGGAGGGGCAGAGAGAGAAGGAGACACAGAATCCGAAGCAGGCTCCAGGCTCCGAGCTGTCAGCACAGAGCCTGAGGCAGGGCTTGAACTCAAGAACCCTGAGATCATGACCTGAGCCAAAGTGGGACACTTAACTGACTGAGCCACCCAGGTGCCCCTAGATGTGAATTTTAGACTCATTTGAGGATCCAGTTTATTTCTGTATGATAGTTTCCCCCCAAACTCAGGTCATGCTGACACACAGGTGCAAGTGGTAACTGCTTAACTTTTTACAAAGATTTTTTAAGTTTATTTTTGAGAGAAAGAGAGAGAGAGAAAGAGAGAGCCTGAGTGGGGGAGGGGCTGAGAGAGAGAGAAGACAGAGAATCCCAAGCAGGCTCCGTGCTACCAGCACAGAGCCCCATGCAGGGCTCGAACCCATGAACCATGAGACCATAAAAAAATCAAAAGTCAGATGCTCAACCAAGTGAGCCACCCAGGCGCCCCTTAACTTTTTTTTACAGCTTAATTTTTAACTGCTTAATTACAATCACAGGATATTCCTCTTAAGCAAAAATGGCAGGAGAACTTTCCTTCCAAGGGCTGCACAGAATCAGTGGGACCCGACCACACAGTGAATACACCGATGGTCTCCAGAGAGATAACCATACCGTGCTGTCTGGAACGCACCCTTTGGTATCACTATTTTAAAGTTCACTTTAGGGGTGCCTAGGTGGCTCAGTCGGTTGAGCACCTGACTCTGGATTTAGGCTCAGGTCATGATCTCACGGTTTATGAGTTCGAGCCCTGCGTCGGGCTCCATACTGACGGCTCAGAGCCTGGAGCCTGCTTCGGATTCTGTGTCTCCCTTTCTCTCTCTGCCCCTCCGCACCCCCCCTCTCAAAAATAAATAAACATTAAAAAACTTTTAATAAAAACATAAAAGTTCACTTTAAATTACGAGATGTAAACATCTACAGGACCACTCACATGGCCTCAAATTCTGCAGAAGTTTGGAAACCGTTGCTCTAAGTTGTAAATTCCTTGGAGAAAAGCCACTGTTGTAATTAGGGTGGGTGAGGAGGAAAAGGGCAGGGCTTGGGAGTTGCAGGGAGCAGGGGCTGCGCAGCTGGCAGGAACTGGAAAAGCGAACTGAGGACCAGCCCATAGCCCCACACGGCGCTGCACCTGCCAGCAGGGAGGCACCTAGAGTCCATCTGGTCCAGGCCCCTGCCTTTGGGTCCCTAGACGGCTCCACCTTTCAGCTCCGCCCCTCTGTCCTTTCCAGACAAGATGCAACGACTGTGTGTGTGCGTGCTGATCTTGGCACTGGCTCTGACCGCCTTCTCTGAAGCTTCCTGGAAGCCCCGCTCCCAGCTGCAGGATGCACCCTCGGGTCCAGGGGCCAACAGGGGCCTGGAACCACATTGGCTGAACCGGCTGGGCCCAGCCTCTCACCACCGACGGCAGCTAGGGCTCCAGGGTCCCCCACAGCTGGTGGCAGGTAGGAGCTGTGACGGCCATCCCTGCTTGCCTCACCCAGCCAGGGTTGGCCCTGGCCTTGGTTTCTAGTGGCTTAGATGTCCTTCCCATATGCTCACGTCCTCTCCCACCGCTGACCCTCAGACCTGTCCAAGAAGCAGGGACCGTGGCTGGAGGAAGAAGAAGCAGCGTACGGATGGATGGACTTCGGCCGCCGCAGTGCAGAGGACGGGGACCAACATCCCTAGAACGGAGCTTCAGAGCCCAGCCTCTCCCAGCCCAGCCCAGCCCCATGAAAAACCAATCAAAATAAACTAGCTTCCAATGGATCACATTGTGTCAAGTGTGGGGCAGGAGAGGGGAGTTGGTGGAGACACGGTTGAGGCAACAGAGAGAACGGAGAACCCTCTTGGGGACGGGGGCCCATGACTCATTCCTCTCGGTATCCCCAGAGCCTAACATTGAATGAGAATCTACTCGTGCAGGTGGAAAACAGTGGTAGGGTCACAACCAGAGTCCTCTTCCTAAAAGAGAAATCAAACTGTGCCCCTCCAGGTTTTCACCTTCCAATGCCTCCTGCTGCACTTAGAATCCAACCTAAACTCCTTGTCGAAGTCCTAGGTCAGCCCTGCTGTCCCCATGGCAGGTGCCAAGTGTCTTCCTCCTCTCTCCCTTTCCCTTCCTTACACAGTGCACCAAGCTCATTCCTGCTCAGAACCTTCGCCCTTTCTGTTCCCTGTGCCTGGAAGGCTTTTCCCAGGCATAAATCTGGCTGGCTCCCCTTTCTCTCCCTAGGTCACATCCTGTCATTGTTTTGTATGTTAGTTTATTGTCCGCCTCCCCCAGTTAGAAGGGAGACTCTGTAAGAGTGTGGATCCCACATCCCTCCTCTCTGCTGTATCCCCTGTTCCAAGAATAGGGGGTTATCCAATAAATATCTGTCACATTGGGGGGTGAGTGGCTGCTACAGGCGTTGTTGACATTTCGCCCGTATTCCCCTCACTGTTCTGAGCCCGTGGGCAACATCCTTCCACACGCACCCTCGATTGGAGGATAAATACCCTAGTTCCCTCATCCCTTGGGCAGGATAATTCCGTCTCCCCAAATTCCAGAATCCCCCTGCAGGACCGAGCTCAAGGCTCTCCTTTGTTCACGGTGCTTCCCTTCCCCATCTCACACCCCCGTGGTCCCACTTGAGATCACCACCCAAATAAACCACTCACACTCAAATCCTTATCTCCAAGTCTGCCTCGGGGCAGGGCGGGGGTGCGTGAGGGGCCCTCCTCTGAAAACAGAGGGTTTTAGGAAACAACACACTCATCTTGGGATCCTAAAATGTGATCCTTCACTAGCCAGCCCCCTTTGCAGGGTGCTGGTAACCGCTGGAGTGTTGTGGCAACACCACACTAAATTCTCATCCCGGTGAATCAGGATGGGGCACACGTGGAAGAAGGAGCACTGCTCCAGCGCTGGAGAGAGAAGGGGGGGGGGGATGCTTTTGACCATGGCATTGATTGGCTACCGTTAATCATCGGAGAATCTCTGGAGGAAGAAAATGTTAGGCGCAGGTTAGCCAACCATTAACTCAAGCCCAAGATCTGAATGTAAGAGTGCAGATAACAAAGGAAGCCGAAATTGGAAGCCCAGCAAGTCTCCTCCGTTAAAGTCCTAGAATGAGAGGCATCTGGGTGGCTCAAGTAGTCAAGCGCCTGGCTCCTAGTTTCGACTCAGGTCATGATCGCACGGTTTGTGGGTTCAAGCCCCTGGTCCGGTTCCATGCTGACAGTGCAGAGCATGCTTGGGATTTCTCTTTTTACCTCTCTCTCTCTCTCAAAAGTAAATAAATAAACTTTTTTTTTTTT